ACAGTTAACTGTCTGAAATTACCCTAAAAATTTGAAAGCAATAACATAATGCCTCAAACTGTGATAATGTTCAACATTGAACTGCACTTTTAGTTTTGAATATTACATTTCCATGACTAATACATGTCTTCCATACAGTTGACACAAGGGAATAAAAAGAGTGTTAAAAAGGATTCAACATCAGCTCAGGAGATAATGCAAAGCTGCGTTCCATGTTATGATATCTCCCTAGATAACTTCTTGGACATAGGGACAGAGCAGTGCACCCTGCCAACAGGTTTACCTGCCACCCCACATGCCGAGGCAATTTTTTTTCTGGGCCAATTTTGAATGCACATGTAACACTTCTCTCAAGTACTATATTTATTGCAAGTTTCTGTTTATTCCCGGCATCCTTCCTTTGTGTTAAGTTCCTGTCATTGCTCGTCGCTGTGAACTTCAGTTGCCTCATTTCCTTGGCTGCTTTCACACTGTGTGATGATGTTCTTGCATCCTGTCCATGTCTCCTTTCTCAGCCTATTTAGAGTCTATGGTATCTTGGCCATGTACATTTGACTTGACCCCATAGATGACTTTTAGAGAAGCCTTTGAAAGGCAAAAACATGAGACTTGTGTTATCTTTTCCTTCTGTAGTCATACAGACCCTTGTGAAATGAGGCTCTTGAGCTTCTAAATACCCAGGAAACAGATAATAAATAAATACTACCCTAATTGTAACCAGTGTTTTTCATTTCAGTGGCCCTTCAAACCTAATTTTCTTCATCTATCATTTGATGGTGTTTTCCTTCGCCTCTAGCTCTGGCTTCAACCTAGTTGATCCCTTTACATCTGATTTGGATAATGCTGGGGTAATCAAGCATGCTGCTACAGTGTATGGAGAGTATAAAAACTAAAGGCTATTGCTATGGTCCTTTATTGACATGATTTAACCTCAAGGAAGCTGATGCAGTTAAACTGAACCTCCTTTGCTTTCCCTAAATATTGGTTGAGGTAGGAGTGTATGGCAACTGTTTTATTTTGGCATGGTAGCAACATCTTCCAGCACTGTGACTCATTTTGCTTCCTCTGTGTATCTTCTAAGTGATGTGGTGGCATCAGCCTTTCACGAAATAAGCTGCTCTCCCCTTCTTAAAAGAGCTGCTGGAAAGGCCATAGTTTTTGTGTAAACTTCATTATGAGTTGAATATCTCAGAGCAAAGAAAATAGAGGGATGGTACATGGTGGTTTGGATTATTGTGTTGCCCTTCTCCGAAGGTATCCAGACTCTTTCATTGAGGATAGGTACAAAACATCCTGTTACTTTGTTGTGAGTAGATCAGAAAATGCAGAATGCACATTTTCCTGTGAGAAGGAGGATTTGTGAGCACGAACCTGTGAGCATTTATTCAGTATTTGGTTTGTCACAGCTTCCCTTGCTGACACTTGGGGTTGATTGTAAATCCTGTTTCATTCATCTTGCAATGGTCTTCTGGGAATTACTGTGTGATGGATGTAGAGCTCAGTGATAGGAAGTGATAGAAAAAGAACTGCAGGTGCAGGTTGTGGTCTTCCAGGGGAGAGTCTCAGGTATCTGTGTGCAGCTAGACTGTTTCCTCAGAATTGGTTTCATCATGAAGTGTGTGCTTTTAATTTGATCTTCAATTTTCTGCAGTTGATGATTTTCAAGTGAGGATTAAAGAAAAACCTACCTAGGGAATCAAGTATGTTTATTGCTATAAGAGCTAATAGCCTGGAAAGAAAAGTGCTCTATTTGTGAAAGAGATACGTCATGTGAAAGAGAGCCATCACAGTGTCTAACGGAGTTCTATGTGTTTGGATGCAATACAATTTTCCGATGTGTGGCTTTGTGCTCTTCACAGTACATTCTGGCCTATTAGTAACTATGACAGAGATTAATGCTTGTCTGGAAGAAAAATATGTTGCTAAGAAGGATCTAAATTCTTCTTACAAGTATGTACACAATAATTTGTAGTTAACTCAGTCAACAGCTTGGCACATCTCAGTGACTGCACAGTCTAGATCAATATGATTGATACTGATAATGTGCAACATATATCTTAATTCATTTTACTGGGGTGACAGGTATTGTATGAACAAGTAGCAGGAGGCACCCATCTGTGTGAAATCACTTATTTCTTTTCTGATGCAAGGTTAACAGTATGAAGATTTGTCAGAAGTTTTTTGCTCAGTGGGACATCAAAAATAATTGAAGCTACATCCCTCTTGGCTGTATTTGTAAAGTCCTAAGTGTGGCAGGAGCTGTGCAACCACACTGGGCTTCTGTTCATTTAGTCCATCTGGATATACTGCAAATCACTAATCAGAAGACTCCTTCTGTTGGTGTGGTGTATGTTTCCATTCGAATGCTCTTCTGACATACCTGTGTCAGCATCATGTCTGCATGAGAAGCTTATGGCTTCACTTTTCACAGTGTGACTTCATTTATGGCTGCATTTGCTTAATTTGAATTTATTTTTGCTCTGCATATTACAATTTGCAGTTCCCCTATGTTTTGAGAGGATGTGATATCTTCTCCAACTTTTTCACCCTCCAGAAGCGTAAAGCAAAAAGTTCCCTGTCCTTACTACTTAATGTTGGAAACTGCAAGATGGAGTGGTGTGGACAGACCCATAGGAAGTCTGAGTGATTCAGCCATTTAAAGAATAGATAAAAAGTAATTAGAAAACATAATGTTCTCTAAATGTTCATCTTTCCATTGGGACACAGTTTTTAATAAAACTGATACTAATGTTTGAATAAGCATTTTGAATATTCTGTTGAAACCTAATTTGCACTCAAGTATGCTTGTATATGTACTAATTCTGGTATATACTAAGTGTAGAGATATCTAACTCATCTCTCTTCTTTTTCCCCTCCCTAGTTAATGGTCTAATGACGCTTGGATTTGCAGGTGAGCTTTACTTAAAAAATTCAGACTTCTGTTTCTGTTTTGTTGATAGCTGCCATTTGAGAAGTGCTTCCATCCTATCTCATGTCAGTCAACTGTCATGTGCTTTTTACAACTGGGCTTGTCCGTTGGCTATATGAAGAGAGAGTGTTGTAGTGCTTTGTAAAGGTTATTCTCAATAGTGCTGGTAAAATTATAAGATTATTCATGATTTTGAACCCCTTTAGCCAGGGATTTAGACAGAAATTCTTCTGTTGTCAGATTGCTGTCAAATGACTATCAAGAGGGTTTTTTTTCTACAACTGTGCAAAATACTGAAGTTTTAAAGAGAGACAGCCAAAAATACCAAGGCCATGAAAAATCCGTTTAAACACCCTGCTGAGAAGGGGCTGGAGTAAATTGCCAGCATACATGACATAGTGGAAGAGAAACTTGTATTCTGTTGGATTTATAGGGTTATAAATCAAATGATAGCTGGCTGTTTAGAATACCCTGCCAGACAAGGCAGGTTTGCTTAACTTATGTCAAAGTATCAGTGCAGGATTTAAGTTGCCGGCTATGCAATTTTCATATCTAGTTTTGAATTCTGCACAGTTTTAGGGTTCATCTGCAGATCTAGCTGTGGAAAGTATAACTGCTGCAGCTGCCAGGTTAATTGGTGGGAACACTTAAATAGGCAGGATCCATGCTGTTGTGTTAACTTCCCACGAATAAAATTGTGCTGCCCCTATTAGATTATTTTCACCATTTCTATCACTGGTGATTAATTGTAGTTCTGAGTTTTTGCTGCCACAGTTGAAGGCTTCACATTAGCTTTAAGAGCACTGACACTCAGACATTATGAAGGAGGTAAGGTCAAGTCCCAGTGAGCCAGCCATACACCTGGAGAGATTTGTGGTCTTCAGGAATGTGTAGACTTAGGGTCTCAGATGCAGTATAGACTGTCCTGTTATGGGCCTGCTGTTCTTGGAAAGTATGTGAAAGCAAAGTATTCGGTCAGATGTGATAGCTGTCTCTTATTTGTTGCATGGCATTACAGAGAGAGTGACTTCCCCAGCTAAGGAGTCAGCTGCAGTAGCTGGAGTTAAATTGGAAGGTGCTCCTGCCCAGGCTCCAAAGGAGCCATCTCCTTTGTAGGTGAAATGATGTGCACTCAAGCCTATTTTACAATCACATGCCCCATTTTGAATGGAGATGTTCAAGTTTCTGATTGACAGCTGGATCATGATGTGAAGCCTGAACCCAGTCATCTTGCCTTAGAGTGTTTCTGACTAAATAGCAAGGAACAGTGCCATGAGCACTGCTCCTTCCTTCTCATCAAGTGAAGCCTTGTGGAGTTTTGACCTCTGTCCACCTGCCAGCGTGTTTGGCTGTTACCACAAAAAACTAGACCCTCTAGCTCTTTTCAGCAGTGATGGGATCCTTCTTTCAAAGTAGCTAATAGAAGGAAAAGAAAAACCTCCTCTCCCTGGTGTAAATAGGTTCTCAGTGAAAATGTCTGTTCAGAGGAAAAAGGTGCAAGACCTGATTCCACTTAGACTTCTTTTAAATTTGATTTAAAAAAGGACTAAATGATCTGTTCTTCCTGGCTTTATTAATAAAAAGAGCTGTACCTCCAGAGTTCTCCGGAGGATTGCCTGACACACGGGTTTCTTAGGGTTGCAGTTTTGTTCAGGTAAATCAATTTCTTGAATTTCTGCTGCTCTGAAGAGAAGAAATTACGCTGGGGTTTTATTTTCTGACTAATTTAATTTAGGAATTTGTATTAAATATGTTTAAATACATGTATTTACAGATCATTTTTAATGTTCTGGAAAATGTATGCATTTCATATACAGAAGAATAGTTAGAATAGTGGCATCTATAAAGGTAAAGCAAGACATATTTAATGACTTAAAGCAAAACAAAATGTTTTAACCTTATCAAAATCAAATATGTTAGTCTGAACAGAATTTTTTCAGCATTTCAATTTTCTAAGAAATATCAAAATATTGTCTTTGTATTCCAATGCAGACATATGCTGGATGAGAGAAACCTTTGATTTTGACTCTAAATATTATGGAGTTGACAATTACAGTTACAATTACAGGTTGAAAAAGATATAGGTTTGCTCAAGTCAAGGTTATTTACTCTTTGCAAGAAGCTGGGTGCTGTAATTTCAACATCTGATAATTGTAGATAATTAATAGAATTGTTTACATTGGAAAAGAACTCTATGATCATTGAGTCCAACCATTAACATAGCACTGACAAGTCCACCACTAAAGCATGTCCCTAAGTGCCACATATACACATCTCTGAAATACCTTCAGGGATGGTGACTCAACCACCTCCCTGGGTGGCCTGTTCTGACTATTTTAATGGGAATGATTTTCCCTAATATACAATCTCAGCCTTCCCTGGGAGAATTCTATTTCTTGTTACTTGGGAAAAGAGACTGACCCCTACCTGTCTACAACCTGCTTTCAGGTAGTTATAGAGAGCAACAAGGTCTCCCCAGAGCCTCCTTTTCTCCAGGCTAAACAACCCTGCTTCTCATCAGACTTGATCTCTGGACAGTTCCTTTAGGGGGTATACTAAAGAAAAAGCTGTGATTGTGGGAATTCAAGCCCTTTAGCTGGTAAGATACACAAATATTTCTGATGTATAAGTAATTTTACAGTAATATAGTTAGTTTAATGGGATGCATCTGTGTAAGCTTGAGAAGTGAAGTGTGTGATCAGGAGATCCAGTTAGCTTTTAACTAAAGTTTGGTTTGTAAAATAAAGTAGTAAGTTTGTATGAGCAGAAGCTAAGTAAGATTAGAAAAGTATCTAGATAGGTTCCTCTATGCTGAAAGGCAATACTATATATAGTAACTTTTAGTATTTTATGCTAAGTTATGTCTTTAATAAATTTATGTAAAGGTATACTTTATCTATTTTCTAAAATTGCTTGGAAAATTGAATGTCAAGTTTATGACCATGTAAGTGGCAAGCTGAGTTGTGTGAAGGAGTTTGAGTGATGTGTTCATGCTCCATTTCAGTAAGGTGCTTCTGATTTTACCTAGGTGCACGTCAACAGACTGATCTCTGCAATGAATCTCTCATGTTAGAAAAGTTGCCTGCCTGTGGAAAATCCTTTGAAGAGATGATGAAGAAAGTGGACTCTAAAAAGTGGTGCAACCTGACAGAATTTATCATGTAAGAGTTGGTTTTGATTCTGATAGTCCTCACCTTGTAACGGTCTTTGTCCTTTAAAAAAAGAATCACTTCAAATACCAGAACACTGTAATGCCTACATGCTAATATATCCCTAACCTACATAAGATGTTTGTGTTCCAGATAGATTGAAATCCTCCTGTATTTGATTGCCTGTTGCAGAGGGCTAAGCTGTATAGCTCCTGAGTCCCAGCAGTATGGCCACACACGTGCGGAGAAACCAGCTCTTAACTCAGAGTGTGCAAAATAGAGCACTTTAATGAAAAATAACCAATGGGCTAATCAATACTAGCTGTTACTGCTTTTACCACAGACAGTTATGTGTACATTTAATCTATATTTCTATGAATTTTAGGCAAATGTTACCTAAGTAAATATTTTACTGTGACACCACTAGAGCAATAATGCTCTTAGAATCATGCTGTTCTGTTTCCTCTGTTGGCAGCAATGCAATTCCCTTCTCTGACTTCTTTTTTTACAGTAAGACTACACTGTTTCAGAAATCCTCTTCATGTGAAATTGCCCTGTCCAAATGCAAAATGATTTGTCTTATTGAACCTGCTGCAGTTTGTCTCTTTGACTGCCAGATAGAATGGAGAGACTGAGCACAACCTATTCTGTTTGGATGCCTAAAATACTACAAGACTGCCAGTAGTGAGGGTGGTCTTATTACTCTCTTATCCCCATTCCTGTTCTGTAGTTGCTGGAGGTATTTAAACGTCTCTGGATAAAGCTGCACACTTCAAAATCTGCTCTGGAGGAGACTCACAGGGCTTGTGTAGTTGGTGGCATTTTTGGCTTTGTGGAGCATCTGCTTCTTAAGACAGTATCTGCTCATGCATAATGCTTGGTTTTCGGAAGCGCTGAATACCCTCTGCACCAACGGAAATCAGAGGAAACTGCAGGTGTTCAGCACTTCAGAAAACAAGACCCAAGTGAACTAGAGCTGGTGTGGTACGAGCCAGCCTGAAGCAGCACATCTTCCTGATCTGAAACTTCACTGTTACCCTTTCTGGAGGCTGCTCCTGAGGCAGGGTAACCACAAGCCAGCTGTCACTACTCCTGTTACAGTGTAATTTAGTCCTAGGTACATTCTTGTCTCCTATGGTCTTTGGTCTTGTCTCCTATTTAGTATCACCTCATGTGATGCAAGATTTTAACTAGTTGATCAGCATGATAGATAATGAAATGTTGGACTGCAGTGCTATGTTGCAGCAGTTCCCCTTGCCTTTCTTTTTTGCAAGACTGCTCCTAAAACTTCTTCAAGAATTTATATATTTTGGTGCAAGATTTATTTCAAGGTTTGTAGGTGACTGAAGTCTCTGAGTTCACCTGACTTTGAATCCACCTTGCTTTTATCATTTCCGATTACGCTCCCCCTTTGGTGTCATTTTTATTCCCTGTAAAAGAAAATTCTTGCCTATCTATGGAAAGGTTTTTGTCTCAAGAAGGTGATCAGTCTGAAGCTTTGCTCATTTTTCCTTGAAAGCAGCACCAGAAGAAGAATTCCACCCTCTTACATTTTTACATAATGCACCTTTTAAAAAAAACTTCTTTCTATCACTTATATTTCAAGTTCTACTTTATAAGAGAGTAGCGGGAGGAATTTGTTTTGGAATTTATCTCCTGAATCAAGGATTAATCAAGCATTATCAGTCTGATTGCAAACTTATCATAAGGGTTCACAGCACTGAAGAAGCAGCAGACTTGCATCTGTCTCTAAGAATTTTACTCTTTTGAGAACAGGCTTTGTGATTTGATGTCACGTTTTATATAAGAAGCATATAGAATCAGAGAGTGGCCTAGGCTGGAAGAGACCTTAAAATCATCTAGTTCCACCACCACTGCTGTGGGGAGGGACACATATAGGCTAATTTATTCCAGCTCATTGGAGGAGCCCTGGCAAATGGGACTGAAACACTTCTTTCTTTGGAGTAATATGACAAATTAATGAAAAACTGGTATTTCTAGCCATGGACACTTAAAATTCAGATGTTTAAATCTGGTAGTATTAGTCAATGCTGATTTCACATCTAGCTTCCAGCAATAAAAATTAATCAACCTGATCAGATAGTGGGTTAAAACTGTTTTGTTTATAAAAGGAATTATTTCTTCATACAGTAATTTCTGCATGGTGCTTTTTACTTAGATTGTGTGAAATCTTTGTATCTTATATCAAAATGTAGCAATTACTGGAAATCTACTTCTTTTCTAAATTCCTTGTTTCATGGAGGAGTTTTAGCTCTTCACTGTAAATGACTGTCCTTGGTTATGGGATTGTAAATAGCAATTATCTGCAGTGCTTCACTGTTTGGCCAAACATTTGTGAGACATATTACAATGACTTCAGTTTACTGTGGCTTAATTATACTGTAAGATTTTCTGAGAGCTGTGTCATTCTTAATGAACTTGTGTTCTTTAAAAAGCAGTCTTTTGACTGATTTTTAGCAGATGAGGCTCCTGTGTGTGGGAGCTGGTATTACAAACCAATAGAAGAGTTTTAGCCTCCACAGCAGATACCAGTCTTTGTAGAAAGGTATAATGGTCACATATAAAGAGTAAAATCTCAGATAAAGAAAGCGCTATCAGGACAAAATTTCCCTATTACTTTCTGTATTTTTTTCTGTGAGGATTTATACAGAAATTAGGATGCAAGTACTCTGGGTCAGATTGTCTAAAGGTATTTGAAAGCTTAAATATGATGAGAGATCAAAGTGGGATTGTAAAATTTTTTATGTCATTTAGTTGTTACGGGTTTCAGTGGTTCTTGCTTGGTAATCAGAATATGAAGGCCACCCACAAACATCTTACAAGAAAGGTAAAACCTTCACAACACAGGTGAAGATATTAATTGACAGGAATGCTTCATCTGTTCACTCTTTTGCTGATGCCTTTAGGTTATTCAGAGAGAGCTCTGAAGATGAAAATACAACTAGGTGATTTAAAAGAGAGGAAATTATGGTACATTGCAAGTGAACAAGCAGAGGCTGAAGTGTGGGTATTGGGAATTAACAAAAGGAAATATACTTCTTGTTTGCCAGAAGACTGAAAAGTGCAGAAAGATTTTTATTCTTCATGAGTAATATTTCTGCTATATCTATTTATAATAACGTGTTATATAGTTCTGTATTGCATATAATATAATAAAATATGCATTAGGTTTCTGTATTATGTCCTTAATGTTTAGCATCTGCAGCTGAGTGTGTAAAATCTGCTACTATCCACAAACCAAAGTCCATTATTAATGGTCAGATTTTTTTCACCATGCTCTTTGTGATCAGTCCTGTTGTGGTTTACAAAGGGACTACAGCTGAGGCACCAGATATGACTAATTCCTGAAGCAAGTGGAATGATGGGAGATGGAGATGAAGATGAGAGCACCCAGAGCTGTCTTACATGAACCTGAAAACATTCTGCTTATTGTAGTTGCTTAGATTACTTTATATTCTTAGGTCATGGAAGGGTCTTCCAAATAATTCTAACTGGATCCTGGAAACAATTTAGCTAGAACAGTCTCTAAACAAATCTCTGTCTGTCTCTCAGGCCTAACCCCTATGAAAATGTGTGACCAAAATGTGCTAATGCTGATTCTCAGTGGCTTGTTAAGCTTTCGTCTTCTCCTCTGTCCTCTGTGTCCCCATTTTCCGAATATTTCCAAGTGTAGTTACTAGCATTTCAGTAATTCTGATACCAGAGAGATGCCCATGGTCATCTGGTCTTCACTGCTGAATAATACAGGCCATGCAATCTGCCCAGTAGTCACTGTTTTAAACCCTGTAAAAGTAAGTATACTATGGGAAGGCATCAACTCTTAATTTAAAAGATTATTATTGATCCATTACATCTACAGACAGATTATTCCAAAGGGTTTGTGATTCACAGTCAGAGGAAGATGTGTCTTATTTCTCATCAGTTTGCCTGACTCCAGTTCCCAGTGATTAAGATACTGGGCCAAAACTTTTGCAGCTGCACTCCTTAAATAATGCCAATTAATTTTTTGTAGTTAGTTTTCAAGTTTGATTTATTTTTAATTCAAGGACTACAACTGATTTTTAATGTTTTGGGGTTTTTTCCCTCCATGTTTTAAACAAAGTTTGGTAAAACATTCAGTGATAATATATGATTATAAGGAAGCATGTGGTATCTGCTGACACAAAATTCAGAAAATATTACTTTGAAAAATCTGTAAGACTGTGTTTTGGACTCAATATATACATTTCTAGTTGATTGACTGATGTGAGAGGAAATGCTATAGAGGTAAAAATACAGATCTGTACAGCATGTCAATGCAAAAAGCTTTAGTAACAATGTATAACATAAAAGAGACATAGTCTTTAATTGGAAAGTCTTGCTTAGCTAATCCAACTAGACTTGATATCATATACTTTAATCTTTGCTATTGTTTTTTCCTTTGTTACATTCCCTACATACAGTTATACTACTTTTTTTTTTCCGCAAGGTCATCCAGTAATTCCATACAAAGACTGCACTTAAGAAAAACCTGCCCAAACTGTAGCATAAGCCAGTCAGCATTCCTGATTTAATTGCATCATAGTATCTAGAAACAAAGTGTTTTCAGTGGTAGCAAAAGGGCTAATGGCATTGCTGTCTGATGTTCATGTGCTTTTTTGTTGATGTACCACCATGCACCTCTTTTGTTTAGAGGTATGTAGACCTTGTTGTCACTGATTTGGGCAGGTTTTTTGTAATAAAAATTCTTAGGCTGTAAGAATACAGAGCAATAATCAAAGGGGGCACTGCTGGAATAGCAAAGATTACAATAATGTAGATACTTGGTCATAGGCTCCCTCCTTTCTTAAATGGAAATATCAAGAGTTGATGCTTAATTTATCCAGCTGTCAGAAGGAGCCTGTTTTGGCCAGATGCATGTTGTGTGTCTGGGGCCCTGGGCAGCAGACACCACTGAAGAACATGACCCTATTGCCATCGCTTAGGAAAGTGCATCAAAAGGAAATCAAAAG